ATGATAAATGGATGGATATGATAGGTAGGTAGGTAGGTAGGTAGGTAGGTAGGTAGGTAGGTAGATAGATAGATAGATAGATAGATAGATAGATAGATAGATAGATAGATAGATAGATAGGAAAGGAAGGAAGGAAGGATGGATGGATGATAAATGGATGGATATGATAGATAGATGGATGGATGGATGGATAGATAGATGATAAATGGATGGATATGATAGGTAGGTAGGTAGGTAGGTAGGTAGGTAGGTAGGTAGGTAGATAGATAGATAGATAGATAGATAGATAGATAGATAGATAGATAGATAGATAGATAATAGATGGATGGATGGATATGATAGGTAGGTAGGTAGATAGATAGATAGATCTAGGTAGAGTATGGATGGATGGATATAGAATGATGCTAGATGTGGATGGGTGGATGGATGAATGATTGGATGGAATGATTTATTCGATAATACATGATAGGTAGATACAAAATGATGAAAGATGATGGATAAGATAGATGATCATTAGATGGATAAATGGGTGGATAGGGCTCTACTGGGGATGTTGGAGTAGCCAGCATTGATGGGAGCATGACAGGCAAACCAGGAGCATCTGCATTGCTGCAGGAGACCCAGAGGAGAGGCCTTGGGGTTGAATGACCTTAAATCAGGATCCAGCCCCCCCTCCCCTCCCCAGGCATCCTCCTCACCCTCCCAGCCAGCCCCACTTCTGCAGACCCAGGGGAGACCCCCGGATTTCTCCCTTACTGACCTATAGAGAGCCAGGCGTGGGGGAGAAATGGGTTTATTGAACACATACAACATGGTTAAGGGGCCAAGGGCAACAGCATTGGTTACTACAAGGGTTTTTAAAGGGCTGGGAGGACATGAGATTTGGTGGGTCTAAAAAATCATAGCGGATCTAAAAAGGGGGGCAGTTAGATCAGACGTCATGCAAATGGGGTCTGCCAGCACAGCCCCCCAATTGGCCTGTGCACCAGCTGCATCATTGGATGCAAAATGGCTCCTGTGCGCTGGAAGGTAAAGTGGGCAGATTACATGTGGTTCCAGCGGGACTTCCTTACCTGCCAGGATCTCTCTGGGATCCACTGTTGCTCTCAACAGAAGGCCCAGATTTCTTAAGCCTTGGGGAGATCTTCTCTAGCAAGGTCTGTATTGCTCCTCACTTCGAAAGAATCCCCTATTTTTAAAGGATCCTTTCAGACCTACAGACCGCAGTTGCTGGAGCAAATCTTAAAAACTGTGTTTGAAACCACATAAAGCAGAATTTTTCAACCTTGGCCACGTTAAGAAGGGAAGGACTTCAACTCCCAGAATTCCCCAGTGGAGAATTGCTGGGTCCACACATCTTAAATAGCACACCAGCTGGGGAATTCTGGGAGTTTGAAGTCCACACCTCTTGAAACCTGGCTTCACGTCTTCATTAAATGCAGCACAACAACATTTGGGATGAAAAACTTAAAATAAGTTCACACAGGAGCAATAAATCTTTCCAACAATTCGGCTTTTGTGGGCAGATTAGTGGAATACGGATCCCAAATCTATGGACCTGAATGAAAGAGAAGCATTTTGCATGTACAAATTTGCAGCTCTCACAAAACTTCTTCCATGTGGCGAGCAGAACACGCGTGCGACTCTTTCCCTTCCTGCTTACACCACCTTCATCCTCCGAGCAACCAACTTGCCTGAACTGCTGGCTGATGGATTCGCAAAAACCCCTTAACTCGAGTAGTTACAAACCATGCAATTGTGCTTTCTCTTAAAAGTTGGCCTTTTATCTGTAACCTTGGTTTGTCGTTTAGGGCTTAGCGTGTCACTCTGTTAAGGTACGATTCAGACCAGCCCTGGACTTTAAAAAGATGTATTATTTTTTTCTCTCTTTAAAACAAGGAGGTTAAACAAGCCATGAAGTCACTCTGCTGGGGAGAAGTTAAAACTCTCTGACTCATTCAGTCCTATGATTTCTTGGAGGCAGGAAAAAACAGGGCAAGTGAGCTGGAAATAAAAACCTAAATATGACTAAAATGACTTTCTTTGCACCCTTGTGATGCAGGGATAAAAATACCCAGGAAAAGGGGTTTGTAGGTTTAAAAACAAAGGCTATGTTAGTATTCAAAAGCTGTGTGAATCTGAGGTTTGTAGATCTGCTGAACAGGGATTTAATATCTGTTTTTTTTCCCCTGGCTTGTATTTATCTTGCTGAGTTTAGGACTTTTATTACCAAGAAAAGGTTTGTGGGAATTCTGGGGTTTTCTGAATCGATATTCTTCCCATAAATTTGGTGGCGCTTCAGTTTTGGGGCATATTTACACTAGAAAAATCAAGCCAGGCCATTTCCAGATGTGTGAACTTCAATTCCCAGAACTCCCCAGCCAGGGAATTCTGGGAGTTGAAGTCCACACATCTGGAAATGGCCTAGCTTGAAAAAAATATTGGTGTATGTTAAGTAGAACCATGCATTCCTACCATTTTTTAATTCAAAACCTTAGCTTTTTTCCCTTAGGGAATCTTAAATCCTAGGGAAGCTGGCAAATGATGGAAAAGGGGTGGAGGGGAGAGCAAATTCAAAACATTCCCGAATTAGGGGATTACGGCCGTTAGAACTATCGAGAAATATTTGCCATATGATTTCTGTCCCCCCAAGTGAGGAGAAAACTGCCCCCCCCCCAAGGAAAGGGGGTGGAGAGAAGAGGGGTGACTATCATTTCGGGGGTCCCCTAAGGGTCTTCAACCATGAAATAAGGTGCGGGGGGGCGGTGTTGAAAGAAACAAGAGGAGTGGGCTGCGATCCCCAACGCGAAATGTAACGGAGGGCATGCGGTATGTATAACAGAATAACGGAGTTGAGAGGGACCTTGGAGGTCTTCTAGTCCAACCCCCTGCTGAAGCAGGAAACCTGTGCTGTAGGGAGTAGGGACTGTGAGGTTCTTCTGAATGTGTGCTCCAACTTGGCTGCTTTCTGGAGGGCAAGATGACCACGGCTAGACAGGACAGTGGTCAGCCCTCTGGACAAAGGTCCAGAAAAGTGGAATGAAGCCGGCGCCGAAAGTCATGTTATGTTCAGATGCTCCATTTTGAGATTCCGAGTCTGCAGGCGAGGTGGGGGTCTTCCCAGGGCTGGCATGGCCCCCTTCCCAGGCACACACACACCCCAAACTCTGCCCTCCAGGGACGGCGGCCTCTTAGCAGCATCCTCTGCCCGCGTCTTCGCCGGCCCCCACGCCGTCTTGCCGTAACGGGCCACTCTGGATGTGGACGGCCGATTTGTGGCTGTCCTGCGTCGGGCCGCTGCTGACCCTGTTCTTGATCTCGGCCGCCATGGTCAAGAAAGCCTGCTCGACATTAGTGGCGTTCTTGGCGCTGGTCTCCAGGAAGGGCACGGCCAGCGAGTCGGCGTATTCCTGCATCCGGAGAGGGCAGAGTGGGTAAGAAGCTCCTTACGATCCTCGCTTAATGGATAGGCCTCACTGAATGACCGGTTGCTCGGCTACCAAAGCTTGACGGGTCTCCCCCAGAGCTAGCTATTTGTTTTTTTACATCCTGTTTTTTTTATTTTTAAAATAACTCAAACCTATCCAACATTCCTTCCTTCCTCCTCTGTCCCCCATAACAACAACCCTGTGAAGTGGGTTGGGCTGAGATAGAGACTGTCGTAAGGGACTAGAATTCACCATTTCCCCGTGTTTGGGCCAAAGTCGCCCAGCGGCCTTTCATAGCAGTTAGCAATAGCAGTTAGACTTATATACCGCTTCATAGGGCTTTCAGCCCTCTCTAAGCGGTTTACAGAGTCAGCATATTGCCCCCAA